TTATACTTCTTGCTACTCTTTCCTTTCTTCCTTGACCCGCAACAGCTCTTCACAATAATATTTGGTTCTAGATCTTCCTCCGTCAAAACAGGATCATACCCATATAGAGCCTGCCTATTAAAACAACAACCAGTACCCACATATACTGGACCCTGGATACCATCCAACCCCTTCATGTTAATCTGCCCAAGAGAACAAATATCCAAGTCAGCCCATAGCAGAAACAAGTAAATCCAACAAAAATATGAACAAAAGAGAAACAAAAGACAGTTTGTGTGAATGGGAAGTGAAACTCACATCGAAAAAGACTATATTCCTGTTGGCATATCGATCGTGCAAATCAATACCGTCAAAACGTTGTGGGAACTGGACATAGCAGCACTTCTTTCCAATAGCAGGGTCCATCATGAAACACATAGCTTCTTTAATAGCCTTACTGTTATTAAAGTAATGATCACAATCCACGTTCAAAAGATATGCTCCATTGGTAAGAACAGCAGAAACACGGATCTGTCAATGTAAAGAGATGCTAAATTAGGAGAAAACACAGATCCTAGAGAAAAGAATGTGAAGCAACGGCTACACAAGGAGAACGTTTCTTAGACAGTGAACAAGATAATAAAATAGGACATAATAGGATTTTGAAAGTTAACAAACCAATGCATTCATAGCTCCAGCCTTTTTGTGGTGTTGAAATCCAGGCCGCTTTTCACGAGAAACATAGATGAGTCTAGGCAGCTCATTTCCATCGGTATCCAGACCCCCACTATGGCCTAAGAACACCTGAAATTGAAACAAAACGATGTGATATTGTTTCCTTTTCGTTACTCTCTCTGTCACAATCAAGGGATTGCCTCACTGTACCTGTATCATTCCAGGATGATCTCTAGTGTTGTTACCAGGCCAGGGAGTACCATCCTGCATTGTCCAGCCTTCTTCAGGGATTTTCTGTGCTTTGGCAACAAGGGCATTTATCCTCACTTTAAACTCTTCATACTCTCTCTGTCAATACAAACCAAAGAAAAGGTGAGTCAATATCTAATTTGTCGTATGGATGAGAAGCAGGTGAACTTTTCAAATGACCTTCATAGCTCGTCGCTCTTTAACAAAAGAAGGTTGGATCTTGTCCTTCAAGTAATCTATCTTCTGGGCAAAATAGAATTCAGGGGCCCTAGGTTCAATGTTGAATTTTTTGCAAAACGGTACCCATTTCTTTGCGAACTCAGCGGTTTCAGAAAGAGATTCAAAGGTAAGCATAGCTGATCCATCATCTGAAACATAACAGGCTACTTTATCTACCGGGTAGTCCACAGCAAGAATCGAGAGAACTGTGTTTGCTGTAACAAGGGGAGGCTCTTTCAATGGGTCCACTGTACTAACAAACACATCAACAGGAACGAGCTGTGATGGTTCACCATCTCGATCATATCTACAATTAGAAAACCAAAATCAAACCATCAAATATAATCAGAGTATACTAGCTAAGCTCTATTCTCAGTAAGCACTTCACTTGGCATGCTTCTATCATAGCCTAGTCTAAAACTTCACATTTAAAGTAAATCACAGACTGTTTTCTACTAAATTTCAAAATTTACAATCAAAATCTTCTTAAGATATACAATCAAAATCCAGAGGTAGATATGCACCATTGTCTATATTGAAATTAAATTTACAGGGGAAAAAATCAACTATCGAAAACTGTGGTAGAATATATCAAGTTAATACAAAAAGAGAGATGAGAGTAGGGGGTGTATAAACTTAAAGACCAACCTTATAGCAAGACGATCAAGATAAGTCTCCCTGTTAATGGGGTACCATTTGGGAAACTGATCAAGAAGCCAAGAAAATGCAAACCAGATCTCACAGATAACCGAGGTCAACCACAAAGGATATGCATTTTTCACAGGGTGAGTTGTACGATATTGCAAGAAGAAACACAAGATGATAAGCCGGAGAATAATCACAACCCGATAAGGGGTTAGGCGAGAAGATGGGATAGGCACCACACGACTCATAGGAAGACGCGTATCATCAGCCCTGTAAGTACGAGAACCAATAATTGAGTGGAAGGAACCAAACTAAAAAAAAAAACTCAAATTTGAATAAGATTATAAGAATGTTTATCAATACATAATCAAAAACCAAGAGTGGTTATTAGCATCACGGCCAAGAGCTATTTGAGTTGGACAATAAAGATATTGGTCTAGTACTTCAACTTACATTTGGAGTTCTTCGCCATTGGAACCAGTCCCTTCAATTTCTCCTCCTTTCCCTTCATGGTATTTACCAGTCATCTGTAACATATTCTTCTCCTGCTTCAGCTTCCAGCCTTCAACTCTTTCTTTCCAGTCAACATTTCCAAGCCCATAAGAGTTCAAGTCTTTTGACGGGTCCACGATTCTTACAGGGACTGCAATTTTTAGCAGGAGCTATCAGTTACGGTACACAAAAATTATGTATTGTAAAAATGAATAGAAATGACATCTAATGAAGGCCACGTGCACAAAGAAAAAAATATCAATACCAGGTTGCCGTGGGTCAATATATGGAGATGAAATAGCATTCCTGTCAGAAGGACCCAAAGGACCTGATGTAGTTCGCACGGATTGTGTATCAGGCGTGCGAATCTCCCCGGAAACCTGTGTACAGCAAAAGGTCAAGGGAAGACCATGTATTATCAGAAAACTTTGCCATTAAGATTTGTTCACATTTACCGTAAATTAGAAAAGTAAGTAAAAGATGTCCAATCTAGGGATTTTTTGAGACATACAAATCACTCTAGAGTCCAAAGAGAAAATGTAGGTCCCTACCGTATGGCCGTGGGTGAGAAGAGGAATTGGTTGAGATTCATGTCTAGAGGACGAAGAAAACTCTTCACCATGGCGTTGGTGTCTCGCCTTGTTAGCTCCCTGGGCGTAATTGAACTCATTCTCGATATCATCAACATCATCCTCATCTTCATCTCCTTCAACACGAGGACTCCCTGTAAAATTCAAAAAATTGTTCAACACTTCAGCAATGAAACAACACAGAAAATCGATACATAGCAATTGCCAACAAAAAAAAAAAAAAAAAAAAAGACTACTGACCCCTGTGTCGTCTGAATCTAGTCTTGCATTGTGGGCAGCACTGAGTTCCGTCTTTCCTCTCGTACTCATAGCAAGGCCGACACACAGGGAAGGCACATTCATTACAAGCGACAAAGACATCTCCAGTCTCAGCGAGTCCAACATCATCACCACAGATCTGACATATCTGGCCATTCATATTCTTCAAAGGTTTGGTCTGCAGTTTGACCAACATTGCATCATTGTTAGTCATTGAGTATTAGAAACTACAGGAACAGATCAGCAAGGATCTAAATCAAAACAATCAATGCAGATCTGAATTAAGGCGAGTCACAGTCATGGCGGGAACTAACGAGATCTAGTTGAGCTAAATTTCAGTAAGTAAGTAAAGTTATAAACTTTGAGAGTCAAAGATTTAGCTTAGCGAAGCTAGCGAACTGAAATCCAACCACACTGTCCATAAGAGATTTAAGAAAGAAAAAAAAAAGCAGATGCGGCATTAATTGATAGATCATAGCAATTGAAGTATTGGAGCAGAAAAGTTTCCATTTTCAAACACTTGATCAACTGACACTAACTAACTACACACACTCAGAGGAAGCGGAATATGAGTTTCCATTGATCCAATTATGGATCCAAAAGAGACAAGATTTAGAAACTGAGAAATCTAGATGGGATCTAAACCAAAAATTGTAAGAAACACCAAATGAAGAAAGAAAAAACAAAAAAAAAAAAACGGAGGAAGGGAAGATGAACAGACCCCGCCATCAGATTCATGTCGGATCCGAACAAGCTCGTTTCTCCGATAGGATCCAGCAACCAAGCCGGCACTGGCCTCCATCGCAGCCACCGACACACAGAGAAAGAGAGAGATTCACAAGTTCAAAATTGGGAAATTCGTAGCCGATTCAATACGGCATCTCGAAAACCCAAATCTACTGAAAAAATATGTTCACACACACACTCTCTCTCTCTCTCTTTGATCTCTCAAAGCTTCTTCTTCAAATCTGCTTTTGGTGTGTATTTTATCGCAGTGTGGTGTGTGTTTTATTTTTTTATTTCTTAATTTGTTAAATGACAAAGTAGATGATGATATATTTCACCGGAGAGATAGTGACGGTAGCCTCTTCTTCTCCCACCGTTTAGCTCGGCTCGGCTTGGATTGGCTCAGCTCATGTTAACACTCTGCTTTTAAAGTGAGCCGTTTTGGATTTCCCCACTAGACGCGCCAGCTTCTTAGTATGTGACGTGGCAAAATCTTATTGCAGGAAAGAGATTAGGACAAAAATATGATTGTTGAGTTATATTAGAAAAATAGAAGAAGCCACGTTGTTGTTGGCTCTGGTAACAGCCTGTTCTTTTTTATTTGCTATCACCTGTCGGTGGACGCCAATAACTAGTGTGATTAGGTTCTAATTGTTAGCTTAAGAAGTTACGGGCGAATTTATAAATGGATGCTAGTTCTTTTTTTTCCCTATTTGTTGTAATATTTACAAGTTCAATTCACTATACAGATATTACTATTTTTTTCAGTTACATTTCTGAGTTTTGGTTCTTGTAGTTATAATTATAAGAATAATCATGAATTCAGTTTTTACATGAAAATGAATCAAATGGTTAAAAATGGTCAATACTCTTCTTTTTTAAAAAAAAATAAAAATTTTTTTATTAAGAAACCATTTAACGTTTTATAAATAAGTAATATAATGGTGATGACGGTGGTCTAGTTATGATGATATGTACTGTAGGCAACGAAATCGTAGTTTCTACTGATTTTTCAAATAAATAAGTAGAATAAAAAAAGATGTCGTTGTTTTACAATTTGATGCCAAACGTCAGATTTTTAATTAAACTTAATTTTATGTTAATTTATGAAAGTTTGATTATTGGACCAAAACCAACTCCTCAACGAACGAATAATGGAATGGAAACTATGGAAGTTAACATTTGTCGGCAAATGGAAACAAAAAAAAATGTCGGCAAACATCAACAGAAAGTTATAACAATGTTGGAGCATCATCAAACATACGCAGAAGACAATGCATAAGTTTTACAAAAGTAAACTACTTACTCTCTTTACCATCTCTTCTCAGTAAAATAACAAACACTTAACTTAAGGGTCATTATTCATTAATCATACGCTACTAATCCCTTTTTCCCACCTGAGCTATTGTCCGAGGATGTCGAATCCGACTTCGATGGAGACCTTGCCTTGGATGGTGATCTTGACACTGATCTTGCTTTCCCCGACCCAATGGGAGATTTTGAATATGATTTTGATCTTGATCTCGATGGACTCGGGCTGTAGCTAGCAGATGGCGACCTTCTCTTTCTGTAAGGTGGAGATCGGCTACGGATAGGGCTGCGGCTGCGGCTGTACCGCCTGTTGCGATAACGGGGACCAGGCGATACAGAGCGGCTTCTTCTTCTATACCTGAGAATACTTTCGATTTGTGAAATCAAGTATAATTTCTTTTGGGTCACCAATTTTAGTTCTCTATTCATGAGACTGTTAGATGCAAAGGATAACTTGAAACGAATGTACTAAAGAGGATAAGTACCTTGGAGGTGTTCTTCCTCTTAGTGGGCTTCTAAACCGTCTTGGCGAGAACCTTCTGTGACTTCGAAATCTACAAATAAGACGTTATAATAAGAAGGTTCAGTACGAGAGTGTGTAACAGAAAGGGGGAGTTCTATTAGGTGTGGACTATCCACCTGTCACGGTCGCCCCTATCACTAAAGCGATAAGGAGATCGACTAGTTCTGTATCTACGGGCGTATGAGAATCTCTGGCTAAATCCTCTCCCTCTCCTTATGCGCCCATCAGGAGAAGCACTTCTTGACAAACTTCTTATACGATCACAAGGAGGAGATCTAGGCCGTGCACTCCTTCTCCTCGCCGGAACTGGACTTCTGCTAATTCTTCTTCTTCCTCTAACTGGACTCCTGCTGTTACTTCTCCTGGACAATCGAATAGGACTCCTGCTCACACTCTTCCTAGATGATCGGACTGGACTCCTGCTGATACTTCTCCTGGATGAACGAACCGGACTCCTGCTCACACTCTTCCTAGATAATCGGACTGGACTCCTGCTCAATGATCTCCTAGGTGATCGAATGGGACTCCGGCTTAGGCTTCTTCTAGATAATTGAATGGGACTACGGCTCAGGCTTCTTCTAGATAATCGAATAGGACTCCCGCTCGGGCTTCTTCTTGATAATCGAATGGGACTCCGGCTCAGGCTTCTTCTAGAAGATCGAGCTGGAGTTCTGCTAGATGACCTTCTTGATGATCTTCTTAGTGGGCCCCTCCCAAGGCTTCCACGAGATGCAGATCTTACAGGACTCCTGCTAGGGCTTCTGGCAATCCTACCTCTCACTGGACTTCTGCTGATGACCCTTTTGGGGCCCCTCAATGGACTTCTGCTTAAACTCTTTGAAGGACTTCTACTAATATCTCTTTCCCGCACTGGACTTCTACTAATATCTCTTTCCCTTTTCATCCGCACTGGACTTCTACTAACACTTTTGGTTGGGCTCCTTCTAACATGCCTGCCCTTTTCCTCACTCCCTGGGCTTTCTCTTCTAATGTTTGTCAAGTTCTTCACTTGGCGGATACCTTTAGCAGGACTTCTGCCTCCATTCCGTCTAGGACTTGAACTCGGGCTCTTACTCTGACTCCTCCGGGGACTAACACTCATACTCTTACTCACTGTCCTCTTAGGACTCAAACTCCGGCTCCTGCACATTAACTTTAGAATAAGATTCCATATTGAATAAGAGAAAAATAACCAAATACATGAGGTGTAGAGAGAAAAGAAACTAGACCTAGATTTACTAGGATGATCATCAACAATATCAGGTTGCCTATCAGAAATCTGTTCTGACGCAGCATCTGAAATTCCATTACTTCTCAGCCCTCTGTTTTCAAGCAAATCTGGTCCCTCCCTTTTGCCCTGGTGAAGTGGTTCAGCTCCTTTTTCCACCGCTGGTGCAGAATTACCTGATTGAATATTGTCAAAAACAGATGTTAAGAGTGTACGAACCATTAATAAACTGCCTATAGAAATTAGCAAAAAAAAAGATGTCGCCAATACGAAGACGTATCATCAACACAATGCTTCAACAAAAAGCAAATTGACACTGAAAAATGTTATGATCAAATGGCATGCAAAGCATTCTATCCCATCCATTATCCTTAATTTCGGACAGAACAATAGAAAAAGAAAAAAAAAACAGTAGAAACAGAAGCCAAAAGTCTGAGTTTTAGAGATTACCTGTTCTACGAGAGACTCTGGGTTTCCTCTTTTTTGCTCCAATTTCAACATTGGCATCACTAAGACTTGCTTCACTTCCACTATTACTGTCTTCACCTGTAAGACTGTCTGGGGACCTGAAAAGTTGCAGAACACAAGTGAATAACTCTGGAGCACATACAGTTAAGTAAAAAATTGTCAGGATGCCTATCAGGGACAAAACTAATCTAGCTTAGATCCACAGAAAATAATGAATTTCGGAAACATAAGTTAACATGACCAGTAATTACAGTTTCTCCTAATAAGCAACCAGAATTGACACGGTAACTATGGCTATAAGTCTATAACAAGTGAAGTGTAAAAGACTTGCAACCTTCTTGATTTGCGTTTCGATCTCTTATCATGCATCCTCCGCTTTTGCTCATGGCGCTTATCTCTCCGTTTAGACCGCCTGTGCTTGTCTTTCTTTGAACTTCTTTTTCTCTTCTTCTGCCTTTCATGGCTCGGGGAACTAAGGTCGGAAGGTGAAGACAAATCTGAATCTGACTCGCTATCAGATTCTGAGGAATCTGCCTCAGAATCTGAAGAGCTCTCAGACTCAGATGAAGAGTGTCTTCGCCTCTTCTTTCTTCTCTCTCTTATAGACTTCTTGTGCTTTGCATTTTTTCGACTGTCACTTTTCTTCTTATCTGCATGGACATATCATGCAACGACGTGGATTGGTTATGATTGTGAAATCATGACTTATGTAGTAGAAACCAATAGTAGCATATTCGTACCTCCAGAGTATTCTCCACAACGGATTATCTTCACGATGACAGTAGGTTTACCTTCCTCATCACCCACACGTTCAATTTTTTTTAGTAACTCTTTCCCTTGAATTAGCTTTCCGAAAACAACATTATTTCTGATGAAAATAAAAACCAGTCAGAAATTACACAATGCCCAAAGGAAAATCCACAATAACTGAAATAAGCAAAGTAACATTGAGAGGAAACCTATCAAGCTGCTGATTTGGCCTGAAGGTAATATGAAAGTGTGATCCGAACTTGTCACGGTCAGCAACAGACATTGATAAAAGACCAGGCTCTTCATGCCTTAGTTTTGGTGACTCATCTGGTAACATCAAAAATTGATTTTGCTACTCAGCAACATATTTCAAAGGAACAAGTAAAAGATGTGATATTATTAACAAAGAGACCAGCACTTATTCAACAAAGCAATGCCTCCAAAATGAAATATTGTTTGTTAATACTATTTTAAGCAATGAACAATGCAGAAATGAGAGATCACACCCAAAATAGACTATCTAGCCTCTCATATTTTGCTGGGGTAATTGTAAAGAGATTGCTGTTTAAAAAGCACAGAGGTAAACCGACCTGGAAATTTTCCGGCATATATGCTTTCCCCAGCAGTACCTGGAAAGTGGATGAAATATACAAAGTTTGTCAGAGGATGATGAATTTGTTAATGTTCACTGCATAACCTATTGGGCACTATCTAATGAAATTAAGAACCTCTACAGGAATCTAATGAATGCAGTTCCATGACCCAATAGGTAATCCAGGTTTAATGGTATTTTCAGATGACTATGATTACATGAATGAAATTTCGTTTCTCAAGAACAGTTAATAAGCTACAAATTGTGTGCCATAGATAGAAGATCAGAAAAGGCGGGAATCAATGAATGAAACTGATGGCTGTATTTGGTGTATGTCAGGAGCTGAACAATAAGTGTACATACCATCTCGATTCACAAAGTCACCAGCCTGAAAAAAAGGTCAAAGAAGTTGTTAGACTAATAGCAACCGTGAATAGGTTTGTACATAAACTGTACTCTTTGCATGAGAAGGCCTAACGTTTGAGCATAAACAACTAGTAGTACAACCTTAAAACTATATCACATGAAAAGCAGGTGTGGCGATCAGACCTGTATCCTACAGCATAGAGAACAGCAACGGACTAAAAGACGAACATCCAACCAATGTTGAGAAAAAAAACCGAAAGTATAAGAATGAAACGTCATATCAATAATTGAAAGATGCAGATAGAAACCTGTGCTGAGGAACCTTGCAGTATTCTATGGAAAAAGGATCCTTTGTAATGCAAAGGTTTTCCACTTCTGGGTCCAATGCCTTTCTCCCCTATATAGATTTTATAAGGGGAATAAGTGTTAAGGACAAGGAAAGCCAACAGTCAAATTTATAAACTGCAAGGAAGCAACAAGGTTAGCCAGACCAAAAACAAACCTGTGCATAGTGCACGGAAATTCTCTGATGTTTTGGGAGCGACTTCAGGGAAAAGCTAAAGAAACAAAGTTTACATTTTCAACACTTTTGCTTGATCAGGAAAAATACAAGGAAGTGAACATTAACTTAGCCAAACACTATGGTACCTCAAAAACCATAGTCTCAGCTGGGTCTCCATCAATGGATACATCCATAAAAACCTGTGGATTCTTCTTTTTTGCCATGTTTTTGGTGTGGCTCAAGCTATCCGAAGTTATGACCTGAAAAAACCAGAGAATACACAGAAAACACAAAGGAGACTCAGAATATTAAATAGTCCTGAAGAATACCGCTTCGAAGACATAAATTATTAGAGCACTGAAGAACTAAAACCCACACTACAGGACACTTCACAATGGCCGCAAACAGGTAAACCAACCCTACAGTCAGTGACTAATAATGACCTTCCAAACTATAAAAATTATAGGCCCATCAATTTATGAAAATGTCGTTGCAGAAATGAGATTCTCATGAGCTCAACAGTGTGACTGGGATAAATCGTCAAGCTACTCATCCAAAATTACAATTTCTACAGAATCACATGCCCACAACTACTCTGACATAGCATAGACCTTGACGTTTCACGACAAAAAAAACTCTTAGGCCATCAAATCAGTGAAGAGTGCAAATTCTAAAGAAATCAGCATACATATTAGAGAAAAGGAACATCAAAATTCCAGCAAGAGAGTGCAAATCGGAGTAATCTAAAGAGCATCGAAGAAGATTCAGGTCGACAATCGCTAGGGTTTTACCTGAGAATACGCACGCAGAGCCACAGGATAAAAATGACTGAGCAGGAGAAAAACCTAGAAGCTTTAAAAAGAACAAACACCAGCTTCTCCGTATTGCCCTCTAACTCAGGCGTTATTTACAAGTTTACCCTCGAAACTCTCTTTTGCTGTTCATCACCATTTCCCTCAGAAGCTAAAACCTCTCTTCTTCTCCGATATTAGTTCACTCGTTGCCGAATTAGAATCCCACTAGTTTGCTTCTCATGACCCTTCTGAATTATCTACACTGTAATCGCTCAAAATCGTCACTTTTTCAAAGATTTTACTCTCCTTATAGAATTGCTCACAAGCTGTTCGATGGAAGTTCCCAGCGAAATGCGACAACTTCCATCAACCATTCAATCAGTGAATCCTTACGGAGAAACTCTCCGGCACAAGCCCTTGCGATCTTCAAGGAAAATCTCCAGCTGGGTTATTTTGGTCGTAATATGGACGAAGTTACTCTTTGTCTTGCGCTTAAAGCATGTCGTGGAGACTTGAAACGCGGCTGCCAAATCCACGGGTTTTCCACAACTTGTGGGTTTACTTCCTTTGTCTGTGTTTCAAACGCTGTAATGGGTATGTACCGTAAAGCCGGTCGCTTTGACAATGCTTTGTACATATTTGAGAATCTGGTTGACCCTGATGTTGTTTCTTGGAACACTATACTCTCTGGGTTTGATGACAATCAAATTGCTCTGAATTTTGTTGTTAGGATGAAATCTGCTGGAGTAGTTTTTGACGCATTCACTTATTCCACCGCTCTTAGCTTCTGTGTGGGCTCTGAAGGATTTCGTTTAGGATTGCAGTTGCAATCTACTGTGGTGAAATCCGGACTGGAGTCTGATCTTGTCGTTGGAAATTCGTTCATTACAATGTATTCGCGGTCTGGAAGTTTCAGAGGAGCTCGGAGAGTTTTTGATGAAATGCCGTTTAAGGATATGATCTCATGGAACTCTTTATTGTCAGGACTTTCACAAGAAGGCACTTTTGGGTTTGAAGCGGTGCTTATCTTTAGGGACATGATGCGAGAAGGTGTGGAGCTTGATCACGTGTCTTTTACTAGCGTGATTACGACTTGTTGTCACGAAACAGACTTGAAGCTGGCCAGGCAAATCCATGGTTTGTGCATAAAAAGAGGTTATGAATCACTTTTAGAAGTTGGTAATATTTTGATGTCAAGGTACTCGAAGTGCGGGGTTTTAGAAGCTGTGAAATCAGTGTTTTACCAAATGAGCGAGCGGAATGTTGTCTCTTGGACAACAATGATTTCCTCGAATAGAGATGATGCTGTGTCCATCTTTCTTAATATGCGGTTAGATGGAGTTTACCCAAACGAGGTCACATTTGTCGGATTACTCAACGCTGTGAAGTGCAATGAGCAAATCAAAGAAGGGCTTAAAATTCATGGGTTATGCATCAAGACCGGTTTTGTTTCAGAACCATCTGTAGGCAACAGTTTCATCACAATGTATGCCAAGTTTGAGGCTCTGGAAGATGCCAAGAAGGCATTTGATGATATAACTTTCCGGGAGATTATTTCCTGGAATGCTATGATATCTGGATTTGCACAAAATGGATTCTCACATGAAGCTCTAAAGATGTTCTTATCAGCAACAGCAGAAACAATGCCAAATGAATACACTTTCGGAAGTGTCTTGAATGCAATAGCTTTTGCAGAGGATATATCTGTAAAGCACGGTCAGCGTTGCCATGCTCATTTACTGAAATTGGGTTTGAATAGTTGTCCTGTTGTTTCAAGCGCGCTTCTTGATATGTACGCCAAGCGTGGGAACATTAATGAATCTGAGAAAGTCTTTAACGAGATGTCTCAAAGGAACCAATTTGTTTGGACATCGATAATATCAGCCTATTCAAGCCACGGTGATTTCAATTCCGTGATGAACTTGTTCCACGAGATGATTAAAGAAAACGTAGCACCAGACCTAGTCACTTTTCTCTCTGTGTTAACAGCTTGTAATAGAAAAGGTATGGTAGACAAAGGGCATGAGATTTTGAACATGATGATCGAAGACTACAATCTTGAGCCGTCTCATGAGCATTACTCATGTATGGTTGATATGCTTGGCCGAGCTGGGAGATTAAAAGAAGCAGAAGAGCTTATGAGTGAAGTTCCTGGAGGACCAGGAGAGTCGATGCTGCAGAGCATGCTCGGGTCTTGTAGACTGCACGGGAATGTGAAAATGGGAGCAAAAGTGGCTGAGCTTGCAATGGAGATGAAACCGGAATTGTCAGGATCTTACGTTCAGATGTATAACATCTATGCAGAGAAAGAACAGTGGGATAAAGCTGCAGAGATTAGGAAAGCAATGAGGAAGAAAAATGTAAGTAAAGAAGCTGGATTCAGTTGGATCGATGTTGGTGACACTGAAGGGTCTTTAACGATGCAAGGTTTCTCTTCAGGGGATAAGTCGCATCCGAAATCTGATGAGATTTATAGGATGGTGGAAATTGTTGGATTGGAGATGAATTTGGAGGGGAAGGTTGCAGTTTAGGGCTTTTAAGTTCTAAAACTAAAAAGTTGTTGTAATAGATCAAATTAGAAATGTTAGCTATAGATTTACATGAACTCACTGAGTGTATGATTATTGATTACTTGATTTTTGCACCTACCTACATACGTGCACATTGGTTATGTAAGGACCATAGTAAACCGGTAAAGCATGGTTCTCTGATTTTGACCTTATTGACCGGTTCGATTGATAAATCCAATGCTACACTCAAAAGTCAAAATAGAGGAGTCTAACTTTTGCCATCTCTATGATAGATACATCTTATTGTATTTTTCTAGGTCAACCGTAAAATTTTTTTTGGACAACTCATGTTTAGCTGAAATAATTTTAAAAAGAAAAAAAAGTGTTAAACAATCGGGCGAAAACATATACTATACTTTTAAAAATAGTATTTTGAAACTATTAAACTAATTATTAGGTTGGAGTTTGGTGGTATTATTCCCAATCCAAAGGCTAAAATAAAACAAAATAAAAACTGGATTTTAAGTACAAATTTATAGTTTATGGGCCATTTCAAGTTTGAAACCTTTGTTGTTGTTTTTTCTTTTTTTTTTTTTTTTTTTTTTTTTTTTGGGCAAATGTTGTTGTTTTTTCTATGATGGCTTTAAGGTATGAATTTGGTGTTGTACTCTTACTCACGTCACTTTACATTTATCATTGTATAACAAATAAGATTTTAAAGTAACTTTGAAATTATTCTTAAGCAACTTAAAAAGAGAGAAGAGGTTACGTCGCCGATAACCTCCTACTACGGATTATTCTTCCTAACACGTTACCCTACGTACCCCACTTGATTAGCCAGTTTACACTTTCCCTTCCAATTTACATTTTCTAATGAAATACTTTTGTTTTCCGTTGTTAAACAAACAAATGTATGACTTTTATCAAAATGAAATTCTCATATAGCTTCTACCAAGTATAAACAATACTTTCTAGAATAGAAGACTCTGAATAGATGGTGGTTGAAAGTTGAAACTTCAAACTAAACCACACAGCTTAACGTATTTTTATATATTGAAGATGAACAACTCTCTGCTATTTGTTCATTGGAGAAATTTTAGACTTGAATGTTATATCATTGTACATATTGAAGAAAATGTAAATCAAATTTATGATTAGTGGAAGCTTTTAAATTAAGGGGCGTATCAAAAACTTAAAACACACAATTAACGCGCGTGTCCACGCTCTAAGCAAAGCGAGTGAAACACAATAATGTACACAATCGAACCGTCATTAATATCATGGTTGTCTCCTATTTCTGGTTTTAAAGATTTTAACTTAAATCCCACGTCACCAAATGTTTAAAAAAAAAAAAAAAAAAACTAAACAAAATATATAAATTTCTTAACGCCCAATTTGTTGTTTTCCTCCATATTTCCATTACCCGAAACCCTAATCCCCAATTTCTCTTCCAATTTTTCGATCACGATCTCTGGAAAATTAAGAGAGAAATTCAAAATTTCGGCGATCATAGTCTTATTCAGACATTCCAGAAGGTGATCTCTTGTTCAATTTTTCTCCTTTTTGGTTGATTGTTTCAATATTGGTGTTTTATCCTTGGATCTCTATGAAAAAACAAATTGGATCGAGATTCTTCGCTGTTTATTGATTTTACGATACCTTTTCAATCGTTTGGAAGTTGTTTTGTTTGTCCTAATTCGAATTATTTTTTGCTGTCCGAAGAATCTGTTTGGAAGTAAATTTGTATCAATCTTGCTTAGTTTGTATCTCCTGTGAATGATCGCGATTTATGTTGGTTCTTCTTTCTGTTTAAGAATAATTTTGCGGCTTCTTATGATCTGAGTTTTTGGATTATTACATCAAACAATATGTTTTTTAGCAGAGTTTATTTGGAATCTTTGGTTAAAATCTGATTTATTGTAACTTTTTTATGATCTTCTGCTTTGGTTGTTTGCTAGTCTGAGATATTAGCCTTTTTCTTATGCTCACATATAGATATTTTTCTTTTGCAGGTATTTAGTCGACTGAGAAAGCAATCATGAGATTCAGAAAAGGAAGTAGAGTTGAGGTGTTTAGCAACAAAGAGGCGCCTTATGGTGCGTGGCGATGTGCTGAGATTGTCTCGGGTAATGGGCATACCTACAATGTTCGATTTTACTCTTTCCAACTTGAACACGAGGAGGCAGTTATGGAGAGAGTTCCAAGGAAGATAATTAGGCCTTGTCCTCCACTACTGGATGTTGAGAAATGGGAGACTGGTGAATTGGTCGAAGTTCTTGATAATTTTTCATGGAAAGCTGCCACAGTTCGAGAGGAGTTATCTGGAAATTACTATGTGGTTCGGTTACTTGGGACTCCAGCAGAACGTACATTTCACAAAGTTAACCTCAGGGCCCGAAAGTCGTGGCAAGATGAGAAATGGGTTGCAATTGGAAAGGTAATTTCGTTTAATCCTATGTTATGCTCTCACTTTTAAAAGCTAATATACTCTTGTTAATGTCTTTCTTTCCATTTTTAAGAATTTCTGGGTCTGCTTGGAGGTGGCAATCTGCATAGTCTTGCTACGATATTGTTTTTTTTTTTTTAACTAATGTGCTAATGAGCTTACACGTTGACTAAACTGGCTTGTAATCATTTTTTCAGATATCTGGTTCTGTGAAGTCATCCACACTGACTGGATCAGACGTATACCAGAAGCTACAGCCCCATAGGAACAACATACCACTCCACGAGCCTAGTGATGTCTCTGCTAGAATGTTAAAGAGACCGTCACCTTACAACTGGTCTGAATTTGCTGAATCATGCACAGGAAACAACCCTAAGAAGATACGATCATTGGAAAAAGAAGGACAGCAGCAAAAGGTAGATGCTATTGCTTGCCGACCTGAAAAAAGGGGTGGTAAATCTCACGTGCAAGCTTCCTCTAACAATCACAAAACTGATTACTGTCAAATCGTCAGGGTAAGATCAAAAGGGTTTAGTGAGAGTGTTCGTGCAGGAAGCTTAGTCGCTGATGATTCTTCTGATAGCGATGCATGCTCAGTTGGTAGTTGTAGTGCTACTAGTTATGATGAGAGTAACATGCCACCTTGTATGCTAGATGGCTCTAGTCAACAGGCAGACTCATGTAGCAGCGATGCTGAATCTTCTTGTGGCCTCGGGGAAGAACCAAGGAGGAAACATTCATCAGCTGGTGATGGAGCAAGAAGGTCATGTAGGTCTGAACTATATTCCTACCGCAGTACTTTGGGGGAATTATTTTCTTCTGGTCCCCTAAGTTGGGAGCAAGAAGCATCATTAACTGATCTTCGTCTTTCTCTTAATATATCAGATGATGAACATTTGATGGAGGTAAGAAATTTGATATCTACTGGTACCCGCAGTCAATTTTGTTAGTATCAATCAGAATTCAAATTTTTTATTTTTTGATTCTTATGGTCAAGTCTGATGTCTTGGATATACTTCCCTGCAATGTGGAATCAACTGTCATATATTGTTCTTTTCCCAGTGGATTTTATAAGTGTATAGACAGCAGAATACAAGTATGTATGAAAACTCTGATTAGAATGAATATTTCCGAGGTGCTTTTCTATTGCTTTGTCAGAATTCCCTTAGTTTCCATTATTGTAATTCCTGGAGGAAGTTGAAGCAAAATTCATGTATCCATACTCTGAGATGTCATATTTTGAAGGGCTGTTCATGTGCTGTCTTCTGTTCATAAAATCTGTAATATCAATTATATAGTTCGAATTTATGTTCCTTGTTTCGTGTTAACTTGGCACACTTATGTATTTTCCTTTGTTGATTTTGCTTCAGTGCAATATGAAGTCTGAATGTCTGATCTATTGAGTGGTCCTACCTGTATCTCTATGAAATGTGTTGCATGACAGTGTGAGTTTCCTAGTCATTCCACTGGACAATATTGATTTCCCCCTGCATTTTTCAGGAACAGTGTTGCCTTGTTCGGGCATGCAGACCTTTTACCTCTAGAGGTCTAACTCTGATGCTGGGGTTTACAACTTCTCCCTTGGCCATCTGAATGGTGCAATACCATAGCTGTTCTCCCACATTACATAACTGACTTTTATGTTATTTTTATTTTGTCGCTATCTTGATATTGCAGCTTGTTTCAGGGGCTTCTTTCAGGTGTCCTGGAGCCTGCTTTGTCCACAGGGACTGAAAGCTGTGCTTTGAGCAGGTTTCCTTAGATATATTTACAGTCTGGTTGGATAATTTTGTTGATATCATATCAAGATCTGAGTAGTATCTCTTTACATTTTTTAGTTCTTTCGGTGTATGTTGCAGTGCTATCTTTGTGGTGTTGTGTCTGCTCTGGTTGCTTTATTAGAAGTGCATGACGTAGATGCTACTATATTTTTACTATTACTAGCTTTCTAAGCCTGATACATTTAGATGTAGAACACAACGTTTTTTCAGTTACATTTGTTCTATTTTCGGTGTTTTTTTTCCAGAGGTATAGTCTATTGACACTCAATTCTTTCTGGAAATAAGCATTGTGGCCTGTTGAGAGGTAAGTGTGAAATGTCATGAATAGGGTTAATGTGTGTCCATCTTGGAAGAATGTATTTGATGTGCTCATCCAGAAAATGTGTTTGTGAATTGATGTTGATTACGTATTCTGATTCTCATGACTTGCTTTTATGGAAATTATCGAGATGAAAGGGAACACATGCCTGCTTTCTTGCTTAGTTTGTCGCATGTGCATTGTGGAGATTCTCCCAGCTCACTCTTCGAATGTCTCCAGCCAAGCTAGGTTGTTTACATGGCAGCATGAAACTCCAAAGCCGAATACATTAATTTTCACAAAGGTATGGATCGTTTTGAAAATTCTCCAAAATTTAACATGTTTTTCTTGAGAAGTTGCTTGCTTGTAAAATCAAAACGAGTTTCATATCTTCAACCAGACTTTCTTAGGCAAGTAGTTACTACCCATGCAACAGCAACCTCTGCGGCAATATTGACTTGTTTGCAATTTTACTGTTCTCTGCCTAATGTTTCAATGGTCATGAAAACTGATTGGTCGATACAAGAACTTGTAAATTAAAAACTCTCTCTGTGATGAATGATGAGTATATTGTTATTATGAGCCATGAGCTGTCTTTTTTTCTTCTTTTGGTTACTTGCTCAGTTGCTTGCAAGAAGCCATCTTAGCATCAACTTTGACGCAATCCTGGTAACAACAACTGGCAGTAACAAGAAAACAAGTCATGAACCTGGAAATTTTCATTTTATATTAGATACAAATTGTAAATTTATTTATAATGTCCACGTTTTACATTTGTACAAATTAACAAATCTCACTGAATTCTTTTTGAATAATAGTTTAAGGTGGTGATTTGAAAGTAAAACTCCACCATAATAGTGTAGTGCTAAAATCAAAGCTTATTACTTGGAACTTGGAAGTAACCTAATTCCCTTTGACAAAAAAAAAAAAAAAAAAAAAAAAAGGAAGTAACCTAATTCCCTAATCTCTCTTCCATTACAATTTAATGACAGCTACAAACTTAGACGGTAATAATCCGAGTTACCAGGTTATTATGAAAATCTATGTTTCAGACCAAAAGCGACTGTTTCACCGATTCACTGAAAAAAAAAAAGAGAGGAAGCTTTGGCTTTTGTGACGAATCGGAGTTTTAGGTTCGTCTTGATACTCTGAATCGAGAAGAAATTTGAATTCGTTTTTTCGTCTTTCTCTGCCAAGTTAACCCATTTGACTGTTTGTATTTTGTAGTTTCTTTCACAGAGTAATAAAATTGGTCTTTCTGCTGCTCTAACCGGATCGATTCTGCCTCTGGTTAACCGGTTTTGTCCCTCGGCGACAGTCAGGAACCTCTCTCCCCGCCAATGATATACACGTTGACTAGAGGTTCGCTTATCGGCTCTACCCGTAAGCTACGCTACTCTTCTTCTGTTTCTTATGATTATCTGAGATGTCTTTATCCTCTGTTGAGAAATCTGAGCACAGCTGCTCAGAGATTGGGTTTTGAAAACCCTAATAATGGAAATCCGATGGATAATTCTTCACATCACATTGGTTATGTAAATGGGTTTAACAGTGGCGAACAATTGTTTGGTGGGTTTCAGCACTTAAACCCTGTTTCTGTGCAGAATCCGAATAGGTTTTATCAAAACTGTTCCAATCAGAATCAGAGTTATGAGATTTGTTATCAGAGACATCAAAATTGGCAAACTAGTGATGCTTGTTCCTCATATGGTACTGGTCAGCAAGATCATAGTGGTCATAGCTCCTTGGACGAATTGGATGCGATTTGCAGAGAAGGGAAGGTGAAAGAAGCTGTTGATATTATTAAGTCATGGAGAAACGAGGGTTATGTTGTGGATTTACTCAGGCTTTTGTGGATAGCACAGCTTTGTGGAGATGCACAAGCTTTACAAGAAGCCAAAGTTGTTCATGAGTTTATTACTTCTTCGGTTGGGACTTCGGATATCAGCGCTTACAACTCGATAATCCAAATGTACTCTGGTTGTGGGTCTGCAGAAGATGCATTAACCGTGTTCAATAGCATGCCTGAGAGAAACTTGGAGACTTGGTGTGGTGTTATAAGGTGTTTTGCAAAGAATGGGCAAGGGGAAGACGCTATTGATATTTTCTCTCGGTTTAAAGAAGAAGGAAACAGACCCGATGGTGAAATATTCAAAGATATCTTCTTTGCCTGTGGTGTTCTTGGTGACATGAACGAGGGGCTGTTGCACTTTGAGTCGATGGTCAAAGAGTATGGAATTTTCCCTTCTGTGGAACATTACGTGAGCCTCGTTAAAATGTTGGCGGAACCTGGTTATTTAGATGAAGCCTTGAGATTTGTTGAATCGATGGAACCAAATGTCGATTTGTGGGAAACACTGATGAATCTATCACGGGTTCACGGGGATTTCATTCTTGGCGACCGGTGTCAAGATATGGTAGAGCAGCTTGATGCAAGTAGACTAAACAAAGAGTCAAGGGCGGGTCTTGTACCGGTCAAATCATCGGACCTAGTAAAAGAGAAATTACAGAGAATGGCCAAAGGGCCAAAGTATGGGTCTCGACATATGGCAGCTGGAGATATTTCTCGTCCAGAAAACAGAGAGTTCTATATGGCATTGAAGAGTCTAAAGGAGCATATGATAGAAATTGGTTATGTACCAGAATCTAAACTTGCATTGCACGACGTGGACAAAGAGAGCAAAGACGAAAACCTTTTTAATCATAACGAGAGATTCGCTTTCATCAGGACATTTCTTGACACTCCTGCGCGTTCAACAATACAAGTGGTGAAAAATATACGTGTATGCGTTGATTGCCATAACGCATTGAAGTTGATGTCAAAGATAGTTGGGAGAGAGTTGATTTCGCGAGATGCAAAGAGGTACCACCATATGAAAGATGGTGTTTGCTCTTGTAGAGATTATTGGTAACATCTAAACATATATGGGTGTTACAATGGAAACATGTTTTTTTTTTGTTTTCTTTTAAGTATAATTTTGCAGGATTTTTTATTTTTCTCCACTCATCAGTAGAGAAGAAACATTCTCAAATCACATCATGAAAATTCACGATTCGATATTTTGATTAATGACATTAAGCTTTTAAAGAAAAAAACAGTGGGCCAGTGGGCCGAGAAGCCCAATTTCTAACGAGACGCGAGAAACCCACAGTGACAGTGTCATCATTCATTTTCCCGGGAATAACTCGCCGCCGCAAGCTCACGGCCTCCGAGCACTGAGAAGCTTAACGTCGTCGATCACCGGCCCACACAAGCTCGAGAAATCATCGTTTCTCATCGCGTAAAACGTACTGTAGAACATAACTCTAGTCCGATCAGAGACAGCGACGAATCTCAGTGACGATCGCTTGAATCCTCCTTTCCCTTTCGATTCGTACGGCACCTTGATCGTGTCTTTTCCGGCGAAAGCTTCGACGATCATAGATCCAGCGCAAGCGTTGCTAGCATCTCCGACGGCGAAAGAGAGGACGTAGGTTTTTCCCGGGATTGTACGGACAACTTGTGCGACGGCGCTCTCTTTTCCGGCGACGAGTTCCACGGCGCGACGACCTTGTGGAACGGAGAAATGATCGGAATCAATGTATTTGACGGCTTTAAGAGATTCGACCATCCAACCAGGTAAAGGAGAGTGATCGTCAATGGAGTTTGGTGGAATCAAAACTCCAGATGATATGTTTGGTAAAACCCAAGGACCTTCTTCGAATCCTCCGTTCTTGAGAATGTTCTCTGCAAAAACAAACCCCACATGTTTTAGATTTTTCCATATTTGCCCCACAAGAATATTTTTCATTCAAACGAGACCCCAAATTAGTAATAATTCTATAAAAGAGCACATACTATTGGTGGGACGAGGAGGGAAAAGGGCTCTCATAGCAACACCATCAATGAGAGGTCCACAAGCAGGATCTTCCTCAACACCTGGATTATGTATCACTATATCTGCATAGTCACTTTGTGCTTTAAAAGCCCATGAATACAAATCCCAACCCGAGCTACTATACACTGTTTGGATAGGCATCACTGCATGGTGAGGAGCCACAGAAACGTTTAACCGCTCGTCTTGTGCGCATGTTCGAGCAGCACTGAACGTGATCGAATAGTAAGATCCCTTTTTAACGCTGATTTTTTGTTTGATTGAGGCTTCGTTGCCTAGGCGTACTGCGAAAGCGCCTTTAGGCACGACAAGGATCATGTCGCCTTGTTTGTGTCCTGAGGGAATGTACTCGACGAATCCTGAGAGTTCCCAATTTGGGATTGCTGTTATGTTGATTACTTGTGTTCCTTTCATGTCCGAATGTCGTGGACCTAGTTCGAAGTCACCGTTTGGTAGTAGTCCTGTTTTTGTTTAGTTAGTATTAATCAAGATACAAAAACAAAATTAGTTAGGAGATATATTTGTTGTGAAATTTGGTTTGTATACAATAATGATTTGTGGACAAAATTAGTTAGCTTAATACCTTTAACTTCGATTGCATTTTGTTACATAAGATTGATAATGATTCTAGCTAAACAAATTATTACTCTTGTTTAACATGAGAATGCTTAATGAATTATGGTTTTGCTATTTTAGATCTGTATATGATTAAACAAGTGAGTGTATAATAATTGAATAAAAAGTTGAAGTATGAAATATTTAATTGAAGTATGCTACAGATAGGAAGGTGAGGGATATTTAGTGACACATTTATTGAAAACCATTGACAAAACACCATGTGCATTTTCAGATCTGTCTCGCCCTAGTGTTCAACATGTTCGTCAAGCTAGTAGGTCATTCTTCATGATTTGTGGTGCAATAAATGATTTATTTTGATGACAAACAAAATTTTGGACATGTACAAGTTTTTGAAAAACGAATATCTTAATTACTAGAAAACTTTTTGGAAGTTAATAACTACTAGTTTCTTCATTTGGTTTGGGTAGTATAGAAATACGAAAATGCGGTGGGACTTACCATCATTGAAGCACAAGGAAACGTAGAAGAACGAGTGAAGTAGAAGAAGCACTATCACTCCCATCTCTTTCATTTCTTTCGAATTTTCTACCCAAAAAATTAATGTTTATATAAAATTTAAACTTTCAAAATGTAAAATAAAGATTGGAGAAGAGTGAGCGAGAGAAGGAATGTTTTAGTGGGGGTGGAGGAGAACGAGGCGGAGACAGCTCTTATATGCAAGGTTGTGCAAGAAAAGGCCCTTTACCTTTGTTTAAACTACGGCTTTGCCATTAGAGACTTGTGTCGGAACAACATTGGTCGTGTTTTTTAATCGTAGTTCCTTGGAAATGGGTCACTTTTTCTTAGAACGTTTGACTAAATAACATTGTCGATTTTTGGCTTGGTTGAATAAATTCGCAAATGGCCAAGATTCCATGGTGATTCTAGTGTTGCGTAGCGCATATTATCGTAATTTCAAAATCGTGATTCCATCAAAAATTCAGTTTTTTTTTTTGTTTTCTTTCATAAATTCAGTTTTTAAGCGGTATTCAATTAACTTTGAGTCAAGATACCTAGCTAATGTCATAATCGTTGCATCACAAAGCACTGATATTCGTAATTTCACTACGAGATATCTTTCTTTTTGTTAGATAACCCAAAAATAGATTAAAGAGGAACAACTACGACATGTATATAGATTTAACTGCGATTTGGAAAACGCTAAATATGTGATTTTTTTTTTTTTTTTTGCCAAAAACGCTAAATATGTGATTAATGTTAATATAATTGCGGGTGTGAAGAGGACAAAAGCTAGCTGTGGGACAATGTGGTCTCTCACATGCCTTTTTCACGTTGGTTCTCGCATCGACACAAGTTAAAGTTGCATATGTTCCGAGTTATCCTATCACAATACACATAACGAATAATATAAATATTATTATAAGAAAACAATTCTGAATCAACCATGATCTGTGTGCCAAATCCATAGAACGGCTCAAGTTTTTTTTCATGGGTTTGATCGGTAAGTTTCAGTCACATTTGGAACTTAATCGATGTAAAAAAGACCAATCAAGCAAATTGTTTTAGCGGTTTAATTATTCAAAGGGGTATGATAATATGAAACAAGTGTTGATACTTGATAGATTCATTCAGATCTTTATAAAATTCAGAAGACCAAAAAAAATAATTTCATATACTGTTAGAATCGTTAAACGCATCACATGTACATGCCCCAACAATCTCAAGTGTAATGTATATAACCATGCGGACTCTTTGTTTACTTCAATAATTCAAACAAATAATGGTCCGACTCCGATCTAAATTTTAAGTAGTCTTTTTCCAACTTTTTTTATCATGTGCTTTCTTAGATTTAGTCTGCACCTTTGTCGGGTCAATAATCATCGATATTCTTAAACCGAACTAAAAAACGTCACAGATAAACATGATCAACATAATCACAAACTATCTAAGCATATTGGGTATTTTTTGAAAAATACAATAAAATAATTAAGCAACCATTACTATTTAATGTAAACGATAAAATATAATTGGCTTTTACATTACAGTATACTTAGATATAAATGTGGTCAGACTTGTAGCATAATGTGGAATAAATGCATGTATTAATCACAGAAATTTTCTCGAGTGTCAAAATTAATATGTTAATTTTTCTATAGAAGATTATGATAAATTGTATGAAACTATGAATTATGACAAATTGTATGAAAAAAAGGAGAGAATGAGAACTAATACATAGACAATAAAATACTTTAATTTGGGCATGATTGTTATCCTTCGCTCGTCGTCAATCGTAAATCTGATCCATGAACGTATATAATTAATGTAGAGCGAAATGATATTTAAAATTTAAAGAATAATCGAATTTTGTCTCTGCAGCGTCAGAATTGATGGATCACTGCAAATGCCACCGACTCTCTTAACGGTGCTTTTATTGCACAAATTATTGTACTAAAAACATATTGCGTGTGTTTATAAATACATACACATGCATTGTATAAGTTTAAATTGTGTATCAAATAATGAATATTTATCTTTTTTTTTTTTTTGAACAAATAATGAATATTTATCTATAACATGAACTTGTTGCTAATATGTTTTTTTTTTTTTGGATAAAAAATGTAGCTAACATGTTCCATTAAGCCGCATCCATGTCTAAAATTTGTGTTAGAGTTAATGGCCTAGTGGTCAATTCTCCCCATGCATGTCACCACTACTAGTATGGAAAGTAGTGGTCTAAAATACTAAGAAATTAATTGTTTTTTTGGATAAAATTTGGAAAACGAAAACTACTTATCATGTATGAGTTAAGTAGTCTAAATAAAGCTAGATTCAGTTTAAAGATTTTAATTGTTATACGATGGACGTATAACTCTATTTATTGATGGTTAAACCTAAATTTATAATTATCCGCCATAAAACCGGGGTCACATAGCCATGAAACTTTGGGTCTGATTGGTAACAGCTGTAGCTTTACATTTTTTGTTGTAGAATTATGACTGTAGGTTTATTTGCTATGGTTGTAGATTTTATTGCTGTAGAATTTTGGCTGTAGAATTTAAAATTTTGGAAAGTTGAAAATTATGTACTTTAGAAAAAAATGTTTTCTACAGCCGAAAAAATGAATTAAGGAAATATTTTGGATGTGAGAGAAAAAAAAAAAGCCAAAGCTTCTAAAACTTGATTGGATGTATTTCAAATCTTTAGAAATTTTTTTGTTTTGTAAACACTTGAAAACACTTGCTAATCAGACCCTTTGTCTTGATGTTAATCGTGGATCCACATCAAATGACAAATCTAAGAAATTACTATAAAAAGATTTAGACATGCATGCATGGGAAAGTGGACCAACTCTTACTAAACGACATTTGACTGTATATCGTCTTTCTTGATTTGCAACATTACTAATATTTAGCTTAGTAGAATTCAAAGCTCTAGCCAAACTATTTAATTTGAAAGATGAAATCACAATTTTGACTTGTGGTGCCAACGGGCAACGGCAATGTCTTACACATCAATGTAGTTTTAGATTATTTTTAGGTATAATTGGGGAACTAGTACGTTTCTGGAAAATAATTAGAAAAGTAGTACTGACACTATTTACAATTGGGAAAAACACTCACTCTCTCTCTTCTCTCTCATCCTACTCATCGATTTAATCGCTCTTTCTTTCTCTCTGCATCTTCTCCATCAATTTTTTTTCAATCTCATAGAAGAATGTCACATAATCAACTTCTTCTTCTCTTCTCAATTGATGTTCTTCGCTTCATTTATCACTTCGTCTCTGTCATCACCGTCACCCCCGGCTGATTATCCTCTTTATTTCTGGCGGTTGCCGACGACGTTTTCGTTCGGAAACCAGACCTTCTCCGTGGATCCCGCCGAGTATCTAATCGTAGGTGAAAGTGGCGGCGGATCTTCGATTGTTAGTGCTCCGTTTGAGAGGTATATGGGGATAATCTTTAACCACGCCTCTAGTAAAGAACGACACGAGTCTTCTGTCAAGGTATCACCGGAAAAAACGACACTTTCCACACTGAACAAGCCATTGAATACGACACCAAAATGGTAAATCTTGATTCTTATAATGCTCTTCGAATTGGGTTTGATTGGGTAAATAATAAAATTGTGGATCTCTCTGTTTCTTGCTAATTTAATTTGATTAGGCTCTTGGGTTTGATCGGATGTAGCTAGGGATTTATGGAATTCGTTGTATAATTCATTGAATTTAGGGTTCAAGGTTTCTAATTGATCTCCAGTAACCTTTTTGAGTGTGCTTAATTTGGATTCTTTGATTTACAGATGAAGCTCTATCTTCTCTTACGTTCACACACAAAAATAATCTGAGAATGGCAATGAGATTTTTTTAGATAATCGAAGATGTAAAATTCTGGGTTCATAAATCAATTCTCTTGGTAATTATTGCAATCAATTCTGGTAACATTATCATAAATAGCAATTTGCTTCAAAATATATACTTGTAAATTAATTCATTGCGTTTATCAAATAAGATAAGTAGGATGGTTGAAAATTTTCTGAGATTGTGTATCCTTCTGTACATTAGTTTATATCTGTACAGTTATTCTGCTGTACAGTGGTCTATATATGTACAGTCATTCTGCTGTACAGTGGTCTACATCTGCACAGTCATTCTGATGTATAGTTGTCTTCTGCTGTACAGTTGTCTATATCTGTACAGTCATTCTGTTGTACAGTTGTCTTCTGATGTACAGTGGTCTACATCTGTACAGTCATTCTGCTGTACAGTGGTCTACATCTATACAGTGATTTATATCTGTTTATATATTATTTATACAGTGTTCGGTAATATATAATTTAAAATTTATAAAACAAAATGCATATCAAATGATAGAGAAAAAAACATAGATTTTTATGTATCTGATAAATTAAAAAAAAATAAAAATCACTAACGAACATTTTAATTAGGAAACATTGAGGGAATAAAGATAATAAATAAAGGAAAAGCAATTAAAAAAAAATCAGGACCCACACTTTCTTTTTCGCTAAGACAAACACTCACACACTCTCTCTCCCACACACACTCACACTCTCTCTATCTCTCACACTCTCATGGTTTCACCAATTATGAATAGTGACTGTATCACTTTTCTAATTAAGTTTCCAAAATGTACTACTTTACAAACAAACCCTTATTTTTATATATGTTTAAAACATAACTATATATTGTATTACCTATCAAATTTTAGAGCCAATTGTTATAATTACAATGTCACATCTGTTATTCAGAATTAATTCACTTGTATGAGAAAATCATTTATTTGATAACAAAAAACAGTCTGTACTTCCTACCAAAAAAAAAAAAAACAGTCTGTACTCTGTAAATAGTTTACTCAGAAAAGAGTCGAGAGAATGTTGATAGAAAAAGAGTGATCATAAGAAATTGTTTGCATGGGAGCGAAATAACGGAGAAGACATAGAAGAAAAGGACAAGACAGCCGTCAAAAGGATTCATATTCAATTTTAAAATTTCTGAAAACTTGACTACCCTCGTGATCGTGGAAGGCACTTAATGTGCCTGTCTTCTCACGCTGAATCTTTTATCCATGTCGAAAAGAAATGAGTGTTTCTCTGTTTTCTCACACACATTTTGATTTACGAAGATTGATTTCAAACCAGACAAATGACGATTCAGTCTGTGTCAATGAATCACATGCAACCAACCGACTTTAATGGTCCACCCTCCTCAGGTAAGTACAGCGAAGTAAATCATTTGTTTGTGTCTTAAAAGAAACATCCAAGTTTAAATAAATTAATTAGAAGTGCCTTAAAAATTTAATGGAAAATATCCAAAGATACACCAATCCTTAAAACCAACAATATAAAACTAAGAATGACCCTTTTGTATGTGTCACATCTGTCTCTGTCAGTAATAAGTATCCACCTTGTGTACAACCTTAATTTTCACTTCCATGGACCATTCAAGATCCAGTCGCATGTTTTGTCTACAACACATCTTCTTGCTTTCGTAGTTTATCGATTGATTCTCCATTTGGTTGCCACAATGTTCATAATTTCTTATGATGGTTGTAAATCCCTCAAATACTAGCCTAGAATTCGAACTAAAAACATCATTTGAGGGAAGAAATGGATGAGAGAGGGGACATAGAGGGAGATGGGTAACTAAATAATAGATCTGGCCTGATTCTATTAAAGACTTGTGTTTCACTCTTCACACTCACATGCAAATGCTCTTCTCTCCCATCTTCTAAATGAATGATTTACATCCTGTCTGATAACTCGATCAGATATAATAAGATTGTTTTTGAAATCCAAAGTTTCAATTCCCAAAATGTGCAAAGGATCTCTTTCCATCTTCTTACACTTGCGGTTTATCTCCTCCACAAGTAGATTTTGAGTGTATTCGTCGATTATGTTTGATCAACGTAAGAATTTTTTGGTTGCCAGAGGCCGATCATATAGTAATGCGTGTAAAAATTCTACGGATGATTTATTCCCATCTTTTTAATTGGGTGAACAAAGAGACAAAATAAAACAAACCCCATACCATAGACTTTATCGGTGCCTAATAAAGTCATAACTCTCTCCCATTAATTTCTCACATGAAAATGTCAATGCAAAGGCGTATACATCAACATGGCTCGACCAAATTCCCAAGATTATGGAGTTATGGCACTTCTACATTTCAATGCATCAGACTTAAAACGCTTCTGAGAAACCAATCAAAAGAATAAAACATCAAAGCAAACCTCCAAAATGATAATCATTGAGACAGACTTGAGTTGTGTCGTCGATTTTATTCAAGCCAGCAAAAGCGAAAAAATGTAACTAGCAACATATCCATTTAGGAAAACTATGCTTTTTCAAATAGCTCTGTTCAGAAAGTGAGTACCAAAATAACAATGTTATCCATCTGGAGATTTATGCAGAGAAGCAGCGTTGACCACAAGAAAAGGGAGAATAAGAATGCTTATGGCAGTGTGCGCTGGTATAGTGGCAGAGCTCCCAAGGCCTCTCGCTCCTTGCTTTCCCTCTCAACCTGCAAAGCACAATAAAGACAGAGATGATGACGACGATGATGGTCTATCCTTACAGAAAAGTTACACTCAGAACTTTTCAAACATTGCAAACAGTTTCTTTATGATGCAATACTTCATGAAATAGGAAAACAGAAGATCTGAAAAACATTTTGCTTCAAACAACGAAGGAAAATATATGCATCTCAAAGTTTTAATCATTGTTTCATGCAGTATGCAACAAACTGATATAGGCCAGCATGTCAATGCAGGAAAGCAGACAGGCCAAAGAAAAAGAAATTTTACTGCAAGAATGAATAGAAGGCTTTTATGACACTGAATTGCAGTTTGATTCTTCTTCCTACCCTAGAGGCAGATAATGATTTATAGATTATTTCATCAAAAGGAGACTTACAAGAGCCAGCATATCCTGAAGATAGCCACGGAATGGGGTCTGCACCGCCTGTATATGAAATAACAACATCAAATAAGAAAGTTACAAAAACCCAAAAGATTGCCTAACAGTTGCAATTTTTGATAGCTTAACCAAATTTTGAAAACTAGCACAGCCTTATAGTAAAAAATTTATAGCATAATAAAGCCGCCAATCCTAACAGTTACATTCTTGTTTAATAACAACATCAAATAAGAAAGTAAAAAAAAAAAATCGAAAAGTTTCCCTAACAGTTGCAATTGTCTAAAGTCTAAACCATAGAGTAATAATACAATAGTAAACATGCAAACACAACTTTGCGTTATGTAACAAGGAAACAAGCTTTCATCAATCCAAAATTTCCAATAAGCTCAAGCAAGAGCAGAGTAAACACAGTAACGCAAGAGACAAGCATAGACTATGCATAAACTAGTTCATATACATCTAAGCTCCACTATCACAAGAACACCAAAGTAAGGTAATATCTTCTCATGAACTAGTTTCAATTTCAAGTTGAAATCTTCAAGAACTTTAATTTCTTCAATTTTATTCCAGAAAGACAAACTGAATCTAAAATTCATTGCAGGGCTTGTAGAATTAAAAAAAAAAAAAGAATCTAACATTATTTGAGCTCAATTGCCTGGGTTAACCTATCCATATCCTATATAGCTTCTAACAACATCGATTTAATCGAGAATGAAGAATAATACCTGAAGATCCTTGGGGAGATACTCGTGCTTCATGGAGAGGTCCATAGCACGCTTCAGACGCTGGTTACGAGCATCAACGACCTCCCTAGGCAATCTGTTCATAGCCTCTTTGATGTCCATACTGTAATACTGATCGTACAGATCATCGTACCTCAGACCTAAATCAATCATTCAAGCAACAAAAAAAAAAAGCAGATTCAGATTCACTCATGAACATTGACAACAACAAATTCGGATTCAGAAATTAGGGTTATCGATCGAGAGAGTGAGATCTGACCGTATCTGCGAAGGCGAGTAGAGATGGCTTTCATATGCATACGAGCGAGGAAGTTCTTCTTTGGATCGATGAACGATTTCAGAAGCGACGCCATTTTTGTTTGTCTCTCTCAATTTCAGCTTTTCTCTCTTTGTGCCAATGAAAGAAAGAAACCAACAAAGCTGCTGTTTCAACAACTCCTGACCTGAGAGAGGAATCAATCACATAAGCTTCACATATTTATTTGGGCCTTAAGTGGCCCATCTAGGAGGCCCAAATCTAAGCTTCACGTATTTACGACATATATGGGTCACGTAGTAATATTTGGGCCTTAAGTCGCCCAGCTGTAGGGTCATTTAATAATTACAAGTAGTCTATTATAGTCGATATTGTATTTTGTCATTTGTCTCTCAAAGAAGCACCAGTGGTCTAGTGGTAGAATAGTACCCTGCCACGGTACAGACCCGGGTTCGATTCCCGGCTGGTGCAAATTTTTAATTATACATATTTTTTTTGGCAAAGCTAGTTGTATAAATGGTAACTATATTAATCATAAAATTAATATACCAGTTGTGAAAAAGGGGGTTTAATTTAATACCTGGAATGAGAAATGATAATCTTGTATATAGATGAGGTAAGTTAAACAAGTATAATTGTATCTTTATTCTTTACTCTAGACGAATTGGATTCCGGTTGTCGAAAAAAAAAAAAAGGACGAATTGGATTCCGGCTATCACCACTACTTGAGAGTTGAAAGGCATGTTTTTGTCTGCTTGTGATTAAATTAACTTAAAAAGTGATTAAGTATCGTCTCAAGTTGCAAGTGTAATTTAAGGTTAAAATGTTGTGAATTTAACAAAAATATCCTCAAATCTTATGTTCCCACTTTCTTAACAAAGCATTTTAAACAGTTTCTTGTCAATTTCTAAACAAACTTTAATTGAGGTTAGGTTGAAAAGATAATCATGCAGGGCGAGGTACTTGATTTAGTTTGATATATCTTTAGTTGGTGGGATTTTAGATCACGACCCATATCCTAATTGCTATTTTTTAACCACGAAGTCGTCGTCGTCGTACAGGGAAATTACGAAGCATATGACATAAATATATTTTTAATTTCCAGCGTACATCATCCATTATCGTAAAATAGGAAGTAGGCCTAAAGTTCAGTCCCATTTAGCTTATTCATGAGTTCATAAGTTTTGTTTTCCAAATAATTGTACTGATAATAACGCACAACTATGAATATTAAAACGTTTTTTTGTTTGTTTCTAGAGACAACAATATATAATTCCATCTGGTCTGGACGTCTGGTTGAGTGGTTAATTAATGCATGTGCGCATGTATAAGTGACTATAT